ACGAGTTTTAATAAAAATTATTTTTTTTATTCAAATTTTTTATTTTAATGTGATAAATTTTAATAAGAAATTATATTTTATTGGAATTCGTCATCTCGAGATGAGGAGTTTGAATATAAAAAATATTTTTTATTGGAACTCATCATCTTAATGTGACGAGTTCTATGAATACTATAAAAAATATCGTAGATCTCAAAATAAAAATCTGAATATCCTAATAGGCAAGTAAAAAAGTCCGGATGGCCTGATGGGTAAAAAAAACCCATAATGCTACTACCATAAAGCTTTACCCCATAAACCAACACAGTATGCTTGCATTGTTATTTTTGTACTGTTTTTTTCATATAATATTATGTACGTTAATTTGCTTTCAGTTCTTGCGATTTTTACTATTGATCGGTCATATCGTGGGTTACTTTAACTTCTTTTCCCACGTAATTAATTATCGAATTCAATTTAGACTCTAAATTTAAATAAAGATCTCTATGATTATCATTTTTAAAATAGATTTTTAAGAATATTTTATAAAAAAAAACGATTTTAAAGATATTCAATCATACTTAACATAAAATAACCAACGACGATTTTAACTTTTGAAATACACGTACATTTGCAAACAAAAATATTTTCCGAACCTAATTCAAGTTGCACCATTCATGTGATATTATAATAGTTTTGAGTACGATAATTACAATACTCATCAAATATCTTAAATACACGGTGAGGTTTGAATCTATGATCTTAAAATATTAAGGATTCTTTATTGTTATTAAACTAAGAGCACGGACTAAGAGACTTCGGTGGTAAAAGAATTGTTATTATTCTTTGAGTGTTAGTGTTCAATGTCAAATGATTGAGAGTTATCTTTAAACATATGTTGTCTTATACTTTGTTCAGATTAATAAAAAAACCAAGATCTTATCCACGTGAAATATTATATTTAAAAGCTAAATTTTAAAATTGAAAAATAGATAAATAAATAAATAAATAATGTTTTTGTTCATTAAGTAAACAGTAAGTTTAAATAAAAAGTAAAAAAAAAACTTCACATGAAAGCTATTGTCATGTTGGATAATTAAAGCATCCATGCTTTACTTCATCATCAACTTGTCTTCTCCAACCTCACCCCATTATGCTTCTTACGTAATATTCTTAGGTAGGTTATATGTAATTTTATCTTTGAGTGCATGTCTTTTTTCTTTGAATTGTCTCTAAAAACATGTTCTTTTTCCTTTTAATTTATTGTTAAATAATGATAGTTAAATTTATTATTAGGTAATCTTAGAATAATATTGTGTTAGGTATTTCATATTTTTTTTATCGGAGAATAGTGATTATCATCACCTACTACATGACCAAAAAGTTTGTTTGTCTTAATTTTGTCATTTCACATTGAGAACGGAATTTTTGAAAACTTTCACTTTCCCTCCCTATCTTTGAAAGATGTTACAAGAATATGCTCTTGACATTGGCATATATTAGTATATAATAATGATAAATAATGCTTGTCTTTGCAAATGAAAAGTTAAAAGTCTTTATTAATTTTAAAATGCAAGTAAACTATACTTTAACATCCGATTTTTCATTTAATACTTCTCGACTCGTTAATTTTAAAATTAAATAATTTGTCGATATGATACTTTTATCCTAAAATTTCATCTGTGCCAGTTGATATCGGATTTCAAATTTAAAATCATACAACTTTATTTTTATGTTATAACTTCTAATATTAGAACCCAACTTTATTGAAATCCAACTTCTAAAGGAAGCAAATGAATTGTTCAAGCTAAACCCTAGATTTAATGCCACATTATTACAAAACTAGATCTTATCCATTAAAGTTATTGAAAAGAAATTTTACCAACCTCCTAGTATTGGTTTAGGTGGACATAATGAGTTGGATTTTTGGCCGAAAACATTGTCCTATATTGGACCAACTCAACCACTATATGATTTAACACCCTTTTTTGAAGGTTGGGACTTTGGTTATGTTGCCTAATTTGGTGACATATGAAAATTCAAACCCTATTTTAGTTTATAATCATCACTGCATCACTATTCACTAAAATCCAAAATTAGGGTTTCCTCAACCTTTATTATATTAATTTTATCTTTAATAGGAAAAATATTATGACCCAAAGGCTAAATTTGGGCCAAATTTAAAATTAAAAAAAGTTTCTTTTTAAAGAAAAGCAAAAAGTGAAAGGTGTCAATAATTATAACATGGGAAGTAAGAAGTGGGAAAATAAATTAAATCAAACTTTTTTTTTTCAATGGTCACATGGAAAAGAAACTTTGACAGTGGAAAATCAAAAAAAAAAAAAAGTGTAGCTGTCACACTATTCATGGAGAAAGAAGATCATTTCATCATGGCATGGACTTGCTTTTCTTATTTCTGTTGCCATGAGACCACGGCCCCATGACAAGTAGGTTGCACCAATAAAAATGAATAATCAATGGGTCCCCACACCAAACAATCAATTGCTAGGGTTATAAATGTAATACAAAGAAATAAAACTGGAATTCAATTAAAATTCTAATTTGTTCGATTTAAGATGAATATCTTGAACTCATTTAATTAAACCCCTTTATAAATGAATCTGTTCATGTGCTAAAGTTGGAGCTCAGCTCAACTTACTTACACAGATATATCATTTACAACATTATATTTATTTTTTTCTTCCCCTTTTTAGGTCATGAATCCTAGACCCATTAGGAGTATTTTATTTTCTTCTTTTAGAGTCCTCTTTCTCTCCCCTCTAGGTTAGATTGGGATTAAATTTAGAGTTTGACCAAAAAAAAATACATGAATTAATTATTAATTAAACATGTCTTATTTTCTACAAATTCTAAAAGACTTCATTACCATGAATAAATTGATTTTTTTCCTAAGAATATAAGTTAACATTTCAAAAGTATAAACGCTCTTAGAATTTTCTGTAACATATTGTATCTTTTTCTTTGTTTGGAAGGTTTCTTTTTTTATGTTGAAAAATTGATAAATTTTAAATCCAAACATTAATTACGATTATAACACTTAGTTGTTTTTTTTCTTCTAAAAATCAATGATTTAAAATATACAATGTTATTTATTATTTTTTTCAGTAAATTTCGTTCTCCTAATTCAATTTACCTCAATGTTTTTCAAACATATACTATTTTATAATCAGTTTAATCAAAATAAATTTCTAAATAAAATCATGAAGTAAATGGTTAAAAAAATTTCCCCAAGGTAAAAAGTAGGCAATGAACATATTATGGTCCCCTAAAATGAATATATTCAAACATTAGATTTTTTATTTTATTTTATTTTATCATTATATGTTTACATAAACAAAAAAGGGCACGTGATCTTAGTGAATTTTTTAGATACATAAAAAATTAAGAAAATGAGAATGTTAAATTATTATTTTTAAAAATAAGTTAAAATTAATAGTTTGACATCACATTGTCTTTAAGTGGATACAATTTTATTAAAATGATAATGTGTTTATTAAGTTTTGAAGTTTTTTTTATGATACGAGTCATTGACAGTTGGTGCTAGGGATGGCAAACGGGCGGGTTGGGTGCGGATACCCCCTCCCCCATCTCCATACCCACCTAATATTTTTCAATCTATCACCCGCCCACCACCTATGATGGGTACAAAATTTCAAATCCACACCCGCCCACGCGGGTACATTCTTAAATCCATCCCCACAACCACTACTCACTAGCGACGTACCCGTCTAGACCCGCCTGACAGCAAACTTAAGTTATACATAAGCAACAAACATAAAAAAAACATGTCCATTAAGAAACATAATAAAATAATCCAAGGATTATCTAAATTAAGTGTTAATATAGATCTTAAAATACATAAAACATCATAATAAAGGACATAATTAAAGTATAGAAACATAAATGACAAACACATAATGTTTTTGTTCTTTGGCACAACATTATAAAATTTCAGGCAATATTAGTGACATATAATACTCCAGTATTACAATCATCATTCTCTATTTCCTCCAACTGAGAGTGTTCCAATTTAAATTCACTACTACCTACATATATAATAGAAAGTAAAACTAATATAAGTTAGTAACTAAACTTTAATAAGATAATTAAGCACAATTTGACAACTAATATAAACTAAATAATAATATTACCTTTAATATCGGCCCAAAGCCAATTTTGAGCATACATTAATGCTTCAATCATCTCCGGAAGTAGTCAACTACGATAAGAACCAATTACTCTTCCACCTATACTGAATGCAGATTTTGATGGGACAGTGGAGACATGAATGCTCAAAATATCCTTTGCTATTTGTTGGAGAGTTTGATAAATTACATGTTATATTTTATACAATATTAGAATTTATAAATTAGTCTCTAAAATTACACCTAAATTCATAATGGTCCAAAATTTAATGGATATTTAGCTGGGCGGGCGGATGTGGGGCGGGCGGATGCGGGGCGGGCGGATGCGGGGCGGCTAATGTCTCAAACCCATTACCCGCCCACTACCCGCGACGGGTACCACTTTCTAAATCCACACCCGCCCACTACCCACTAAAATTATACCAATTCCCGCCCCAATTGAAGCGGATGCGGTACAGAATCCACGAAACTGTACCCGTTTACTATCCCTAGTTGGTGCTGATTTTATTAAAATATTTTATAACTATATATGATTTTAATAAAACGATCAATAATTAATAAGGATTTTGATGGCATAAATTGAAAAAATAAATAAATGATGATTTTGACAAGATCATTTTCATTTAGGACAATTTCATCAGACACAATAAAATTTTCATAATATTTCCTTAAATAAACTGATTATAGTATAATTAAATTTGAAAGAAAAAGAAAACCTTAATATCCACGTGGGAGGATATGATTCATTCACCTGTATATGAGAGGAACATGGGTCCCACGAACAAAAACTGAAAACCCCACTTAAACCCTTTGTCAGCCTCTCCCTCCTTTCAAAGTTGGTAAGGAAGAACCTCTCTCTCTCTCTCTCTCCTCCTCTCTCTCCTTGGCTTTAAGTTTCACAATAAAAAGAAAATAAAAATATAGTAACAGGCAGAAGATGAAATATGGTATTCTGTTCATGTCGTTTTTCACTTTTGACCCTCGAAAATCACTTAATTTCCACTCTTCCGACACCTAAAACACACCCGACAGAGGCAAAGAGAGGGAGTGTGAACTGTTGTTTTTTTTTTTCATGGAGGCGAGCTTCCAAGTTGAAGCTGTGATTGAGTTCTTGAGGAAGAATGGCTTAAAAGAAGCTGTTAAAGCTCTCGAACAAGACATGATGGAGAAAAAAGAAAAAGAAGAAAAGGTAGGTGCTTTTGATTTCGAGAAGTTCTTGTTCCCCATGCCGCCGCCGGTGAGGATTCCGGCCACAATCCGGAGATCGGAGGTGGACGAGAAAGTGAATTCCAGTGATGGCGATGAATTCGTCAGCTTGAGGTCTTCTTCCAGTGATGTTTTCTCTTCAGGTAAGAAAAAAATAGTACTCATATATTTTCTTTAAAAAAGTTGTTTGATCTTTTAACAGATTGAATTTTAGGAGATGTTAATCATATTTAAAATGAATTTGTGCTTGTTTTTTTCTTTATGATGAACATTTGTTGTTGTAATTGTCAATTTTAGATCTCGGGTCGAATGTTGATTAAACAACAAGGTTTCGAGTTCGAACCTCGTATAAATGCGCACAAAAGGTTTTAATGGATTTATAACTGATATTTCTATCTTATTATCGGTATCGGTATCCGTATCCGACACATATACGAACATAGATATTGTCGGTGAACAAATGTAAGGGCGGTGGTTTTGAAAGTGGTCCGGTGTTCGTTGTGGGATATAATGTCGCGGTTATGTCATTAGCAGTGAATGTTATTTTTTCTCTATTCCCGATATCTTGGTGGCTGCTGGAGGTGAATGTTAATTGATAGTGGCATGAGAGCAGTCCAACTGTTTTTTCCCTTCCTTTTTGCAGACTTTGTGAATCCGTATGGACTTCATTCTGCATCTCAGGCTGGTTCCGATACTTCTTCGGATCGATTATCTCAATTCGGAACCGCACGCGATTACCCTGATTTCGAAATGCAGAACGACTTGTTTTGGCACGATGACAAAGACGAAGACCACTTCTTGATTCCTTGTTTTGCTGGGTCGGATTTCTACGTCTGCCCCAGTCAGGATAAGTTTGTCACAACTTGGGAGATCGAGATGCAACGTGATAACACGCTGATTTCGTATGACGAATCCGATGGATTTCGAACCGAAGATGGCATTGATTACTTGGACAAGCCATGCCTTTTTAATATGTCCAGCATAAATGGAGAAAATGATGAGGTTCGAGTTATGGATTACTATCATTTTGATAAAAGTAAAGGGATTGAAGGTGGCATTTTACCCGAATTGAAGAACTGTGCTTATGAGTCAGAGGGACCAGGTCTTTATGATGAAAATCCGCTCAACTTCGGCTACATAGGCACTAAAGGAACAGATTTTGATGATTTTCAGCTGAAGGTTGCTGGAGACATTGACGCCGATCATAATGGAGCTTCCGAACATATATCAAAAACGAACTTTTACTCGGCCAGAAGGGGTTCAAATGATTTGATTGATGAGTTTGGAGGTGATTCTGAGTTAGTGAACAAGATTTCCGAGAAGAAATTATTACCTGATTCAGTTGACAGTAATGAAGTTGAAGATGGAAAACTCAGTGAACTTCAGGATGCTGCAAATGAAGAGGGCGACGCTATGGATGAACTTCAAATGTACTCTAATGAGGATGAGTATGAAGTGTTCGATTTGCGAATCATTCACAGGAAAAACAGGTTAGACTTATACTTTTCTTTATAGTTATTTCAAGACATTGTGCTGCAGATTAATACGTCTCGCTTAATCCATAAAACTTGTGCATTATGCCATGTGCAGGACTGGATTCGAAGAAAACAAGGACCTGCCGATCGTAATAAATAGTGTCATTGCTGGAAGGTATTATGTAACGGAATACCTAGGTTCGGCTGCTTTTAGTAAGGTTGTTCAAGCGCATGATCTTCTCACGGGAATCGATGTTTGCCTGAAGATCATAAAAAACGACAAAGATTTCTTCGACCAGAGTTTGGATGAAATTAAGCTTCTAAAGCTTGTTAATAAGCATGATCCCGGAGATAAGTTCCACATTCTGCGTCTCCACGACTATTTCTATCACCAGGTACATTAGTGAAATGGCTATCGCCACCTCTCATTGTGTGCATTAATGCGAATGATTTCTTTACGACTTGTGCAAAATCGGTCCAGGAGCACCTCTTCATTGTCTGTGAACTGCTTCGAGCAAACTTGTATGAATTTCAGAAATTCAATCAAGAATCAGGTGGAAAAGCTTATTTTACACTACGCAGGTTGCAGGTTCGTTCGAACGGGCTTGCCTGCACTCTTCGTTTAGTTCTTTGTTCCTCTGAATTGCATTTACCTACATGTTTCTAAACTACTAACTCGAATAATTTGCTGTTGATGTTCTCTTGGACAGGTCATAACTCGACAATGTTTGGAGGCACTCGATTACTTGCATGAGTTGGGAATTATTCACTGCGATCTAAAGCCCGAGAATATTCTCATAAAAAGTTACACACGATGCGAGATAAAGATTATCGATCTTGGAAGCAGTTGCTTCCGGTCAGACAATCTATGTCTATATGTTCAATCTCGCTCCTACAGAGCCCCGGAAGTCATCCTTGGACTGCCATATGACCAGAAGATTGACCTTTGGTCTCTTGGATGTATCCTTGCCGAGCTATGTTCTGGGGAAGTATGTCTATATGTTCAATTTCGAGTTTCTTATAAGCTATCTCCGGGAAGTATTCTTTGATGTTTGCTACCGATTTGAAGTAACTGTTCCTCGGAAACAATTTAAACCGTTACTCATTTTAAGTACGCATGTCTTTTTATAGGTGCTGTTCCCAAATGATGCAGTCGTGATGATCCTTGCACGGATGGTTGGAATGCTCGGTCCTTTCGACATGGAGATGTTGGAGAACGGGCAAGAGACGTTCAAGTATTTCACAGAAGAATATGATTTGTACCACATTAACGAGGTTAGTTTGGAGTTTGCTTTTATCAATAGAAGTCGTCTAAACTTCGAGATACTTCTTCAATTTTCGGGAGCATGAAGTACCACAACATATGTTTCAATGTTTAAAACCATCGAAGAGCTCCAATTCGACAGTCGAGAGCAGTCGATTTTTCAACTTATCGTAACGAACTCATACAGTTTCTTTTCCCATTCAGGAGACGGACCAACTAGAATACATTATTACCGAGGAGTCTTCCTTGGAGCAACATGTTCAAGTATCCGATGTGTTGTTCATTGATTTCGTTAGACATTTGCTTCAGATGAATCCTCAAAGGCGCCCAACTGCAAAGGAAGCGTTAGAACACCCATGGCTTTCCTACTCGTGCTAAACCGGAACTCACCGGATTGCTGGCGGAATGGCGCTTTCATCGAGCAATATCTTACGAGTGAGTCGAGCATAGTTCCAATTTCAATTTTGGTTTTATGTATAGCAAAGGAAAAACCGGATCGCACTTGAAATCGGATTCACATTTTTTTCTTGTACAAAGCTCCTCCGCGAGGTTTTCCCCACCGATTCTACATCGTTTTGAGTGATAAGGATACATTCACTGATATCGTGGTTTAACTTGCCTGCAAATATAAGAGATGCATTATTTTTTTTTCTCATCAAGTAATAATAATGGTGGATCGAAGCCGTTAATTTTAACTTTTAAGAATAATTCTTTAAGCTATTATATTTGAATATTCATATATTAACTTATATTTTTGGATACTAGAAACTATATGTCTATATCCAATAGGATCAATACGACCACATCTTGGAAACCATCTTTAATTTCGTGGGGACGTTAAGGTTTAAACACTCTAGTTTTGTAACTTTTCAACCTTACTTCATAATATTATCCTTTATAAATTCATGTAATAAGTGTTGCTTTAAACACAGTGTACTTAGCAGTGTGACATAGAAACAGCTCAACATCGTCTCTTCTCATTGCCTGACGCCTGATTCCATCCACTCATATGTCCCTTCTTTTCACTCTCTCTTCAGCGCGTTAAGCGTTTCTTTTTTATTTAGGGTAAAGTATACAAATAGTCTCCAAACTTTTAAAGTGTTTGCATTTTGGTCACATAACTTTTGAAATTTACAATACAATCATTAAAATTTTAGTTTATTTTTATTTCTATCCCTACCGTTATCTCCTTTCGTTTTTGCTGACGCAGCAGTTATTTCTTCTTCTTTTTTTAACTAAAACCAAACAAAACCTAAAAATAAGCAACAAAAAAAAAAACATAAATTCTTTTCCAAAAAAGGAAAAGAAAACACCATACAAAATTTTTTCTACTGTTAGTTATTTTAATCTAAACTTTAATACCTCCTCTGAGAAAATTTTCTATAAAAAGCACACATTGATGCCAAATAGAAGAAGCTCATAAGAGAAAAACCAGACATATATTTACATATAGTATTTTTATCCTTTTGTATTTGCTCATTGTTTCGAATATTAACCCCATAGCTTCATTCTCTCTCCGCAAACATTCCAACTCCACTTACAGAGCTTCCACCTAACAAATTCTTCTTATTAAATCTCTCTTTCTTGAAAAACTTAAAGCAATGATATCATCAATATAATATACCTTTTGTTTATCATAGTTTGGAGAATCCATGACAGTATGTGTTGAAAATTAACCAGACGATACCAAGAACAAGTTAGCTGAAAATTAAAGAAAAGTAGAAATGAAGTTAAAGAATCGATGACAAGAAGAAGAAGAACTATTGTCTCAAATTTCCATGAAGCTTTTGGGTTCTTTCTTCTTCCATGGAAGAAGGTGAAATGATGACAGATTGAAGAGGTGTAGCATGAGGAAAGTTTCATGGAAATTTGCAGACAATAGCTCTTAGGCCCTGTTCCCACAATCCACAACTAGGCTTTCAAAGATCAAAACCATAGCCTTAATTTCACCAGAAAATCTTACAAGTAAAAAGAGTTCAACCGGCTTTCACGAACCAAAAATTGAAAACGAAAAACTGTTGAAACTGAAGTGAAAGAAAAAGGAACCTGACCTTGATGTTAAAGCGGCGTGGCCCAAAATGGTGAACTAGGGATGGGCATAGGTCGAGTTTTTGGTCCACCCGACCTGATCCGAGAACAAGAGAGCTTCCACCCGACCAAAACAAAGTTTCACTCAACCCGAATATATGACATAGAAACCCGACCCGAAATAATAAAAAAAATTATTTTTATTTAATAAAAATAGTGACTTAATTGAAAAATAATTATATATAGAGGGGTATTATTGTAATTATCCCTAAATATATAGGGTAAAATTATATATTTTTTCGGGTCGGATTTTTTCACCCTAAACCCGAACCCGACCAAAACACAACATAAAAAAAACCAGACCAGACCCGACCCGACTCGAAACCGAATTGTTTTTAGAAAAATCCGACCCGATTGGGTCGGAACCCGACGGGTCGGGTTTAAATGCCCATCCCTAGGTGAAACCAAAATCCCGTCATTTTTGGAGAAGTAAATAATGAATAATACTCACTTTCTTTTTGGGAAAAAAATGATAAATTAGATTAAAGCTAAAAAGTGCTAAGATCGAAGCTTATAACCTTATCCTTTGCAGTAATTTCACCTTCTTCCAAGGAAGAAGAAAAAACCCAAAAGCTTGAATATTTGCAGTAGCAGACATTGGGAAAAGGAACAGCTAACATGCAAGCTTAGGTGAAGAAGAAGAAGAAGAAGCAGCAGCAGCTGCCACGTCAGAAAAAAATTAACAGGGGTTAACATCAGGGTTAGAAATGAAAACGAACTAAAAATTCGATGACTATATTACAAGTTTCAAAATTTGAGTGATCAAAATGCAAGTGTAAGATATGACTCATAATATACCGGTAAAGAGGACAGGGGATGGAGCGGAGTGAGCGAAGCGATGACGTAAGCACATTGCCGAACCTCGTTAAAATTATTGTATTCTTTCGTTTACTTTTCCTGATTGGGTCGGGTTTAAATGCCCATCCCTAGGTGAAACCAAAATCCCGTCATTTTTGGAGAAGTAAATAATTAATAATACCCACTTTCTTTTTGGGAAAAAATGATAAATTAGATTAAAGCTAAAAAGTGCTAAGATCGAAGCTTAGAACCTTAGCCTTTGCAGTAATTTCACCTTCTTCCAAGGAAGAAGAAAGAACCCAAAAGCTTGAAGATTTACAGTAGCAGACACTGGGAAAAGGAACAGCTAAAATGCAAGCTTAGGTGAAGAAGAAGAAGAAGCAGCAGCTGCCACGTCAGAAAAAAATTAATGGGAGTTAACAACAGGGTTAGAAATGAAAACGAACTAAAAATTCGATGACTATATTACAAGTTTCAAAATTTGAGTGACCAAAATGCAAGTGTAAAGTATGGCTCATAAATATACCGGTAAGGAGGACAGGGGATGGAGCGGAGTGAGCGAAGCGAGGACATAAGCACATTGTCGATCCTCGTTAAAATTCTTGTGTTCTTTCGTTTACTTTTCCTGATTCTTCACCAATTGGTATAAGATGTTAGGAGCAAAATTCGAAGTTGCGAAATTCGATGGTCAGGGTAACTTCGGATTATGGCAAATGAGGGTGAAGGATCTGTTGGCGCAGCAGGGGATCCTGAAGGCTTTGCGACCAACAAAGCCGGCGTCGATAGAGGAGGACGATTGGGAAGAATTGCAACAGCGAGCGGCAGGAACCATACGATTATGCTTGGCGGACGAGGTTATGTATCACGTCATGCATCTGTCATCTCCAGACGAAATTTGGAAAAAGTTGGAAAGTCAGTTTATGTCCAAATCCTTAACGACAAAACTGTATCTGAAGCAGCGGCTGTATGGGCTAAAGATACAGGACGATCATGATTTGGCGCAACACGTGAATGTCTTCAATCAAATCGTTTCTGATTTGGCTCGGCTTGATGTGAAAATTGAGGATGAAGACAAAGCGATGATTCTGTTGTGTTCGTTGCCTCCCTCTTACGAATACATTGTGACTACTCTTACATATGGGAAAGAGACTATCAACGTTGAGGAGATTATTGCAGCCTTGTTGGCTCACAACCAGCGGAAGCAGAATGCAGGGGAAAACTCTCAAGCCGATAGATTATATGTCAAGGGTAATCGAGACCGTAGACGGAAGCCAGAGAAGGCAGGGTCTGGCAAGCAGAATTCCAGATCCAAATCTAGGGATAAGAAGACAATTCACTATTACAAGTGCAAGGAGGCGGGATATATGAAGTGAGACTGTCCGAAGTTGAAAAAGAAGACTGATGAGAAGCGTGATGTTTCATCCAAGTCTGTGAACGTGGTCGAGGATGACAATTCTGATTGCAGTGAGGGTGATATGCTTTCTATTTCAACGACTCAATTGACGGATGCGCGGATTCTTGATTCTGGATGTTCTTATCACATCACGCCAAATAGGGAATGGTTTTCGACATACAGGTCGGTTAATTCTGGTTCTGTTTATTTGGGTGATGATCGATGTTGCAATATTGTTGGTATTGGTGATGTCATAATTAAGATGTATGACGGCTCTGTTCGGACGTTGAGTGGTGTTCGACATATCCCAGATTTGAAGAAGAATTTGATTTCTTTGGGCACTTTGCACAAGAATGGTTTTATCCCTAAGGCTGATGAGGATAGGGAGACCATTCGGATTGTTAAAGGAGCTTTGACAGTGATGAAAGGAAAGATGACTGCAGGGAATATTTACAGATTGTTAGGGAGTACCGTTGTAGGTGGAGTTCATTCTGTTGAGTCCTGTGATGATACAACCAAACTGTGGCATATGCGTCTTGCTCATCTGAGTGAACGTGGTATGGCTGAATTACATAAAAGAAATCTGTTGCATGGTGTTAAAATCTGTAAGCTCAACTTTGGCAAGTATTGTGTTCTTGGTAAACAGACTAAAGTTTGTTTCAAGACTGCGAAGCACACAACTGAAGGGATTCTTGATTATGTGCATTCGGATGTATTGGGGCCTTCCACGACATCGTCTTTGGGTGGATCTAGGTATTATGTTACCTTTATTGACGATTTTTCACGGAAAGTTTGGGTGTATTTTTTGAAACACAAGTCCGACGTTTTTGAGAAGTTCAAGCTATGGAAAGTTGAGGTAGAAAACCAAACAGGACGAAAAATCAAGTGTTTGTGGTCTGAAAATGGTATGAAGTACACAGATTCACAGTTTCTACAGTTCTGTAAGGAGTACGGGATTAAGAGGCATTTTACAGTGCGCAAGTCACCACAATAGAAAGGTGTTGCGGAACGGATGAACAAGTCGTTGAATGAAAGAGCCAGATATTTGCGGTTGAATGCGGGGCTTCCCAAACACTTCTGGGCTAAGGCTGTTAACATGGCGTGTTATCTTATCAACAGATCGCCAAGGGCATCATTGGCTGGGAAAGTTGCAGAAGAGGTATGGACTGGTCATGATGTTAGTTTTGATAACTTACGGATTTTTGGTTGTCCTGCTTATGTGCATGTACCTGCTGATGAGAGATCCAAACTTGATGCGAAATCGAAGGAGTGCATTTTTCTGGGTTACAAGAAAGGTGTCAATGGATTCAAGTTCTGGGATCCAGTTGCGAAGAAAATTGTGATCAGTAGAGATGTTTTTGATGAACAATCCATGTTGCAGCAGAAGAAAGACACGACAGTGGTTGATTTCGAGCAGTTTCCAGTTGAGAAACCAGAAACTTCTCAACCGACTTCTGGTGGTTCCGCTACGGATGATTTGCAGGATTATAGTCTCGCCAGAGACATGGTGAGACGGACGAATATAAAGCCCCCGAGCAGATTGAGTTTTGAAGACTTGGTCTCTTTTGCACTTACTGTTAGCAGTGATGATCCGGTTACTTTTCATGATACCGTTACTAGTCAGGAAAACGACAAGTGGATGGCTGCCATGGTTGAGGAGATGGAGTCTTTGAATCATAATCGTACATAGGAGTTAGTTCCCCTTCCTGAGGGTAAGAAGCCGATTGGTTGCAAATGGGTGTATAAAAAGAAACCAACAGTAACAGAAAAAGAGGGGAGAAGTTCAAGGCTCGTTTGGTAGCAAAGGGTTTTTCACAGCAGAAAGGAGTTGATTATGATTAAATCTTTTCTCCTGTGGTCAGGCATACTTCAATCGGAGCAGTACTTGCATTGGTGGCTAGTTGGGATTTGCATTTAGAGCAGATGGATGTTAAAACTGCTTTTTTGCATGGTGATTTAGAGGAGCAGATCTACATGCGGTAACCTGAAGGTTTCACTCAACCTGGAAACGAGAATTTAGTTTTGCAGATTGAAGAAATCTTTGTACGGGTTGAAACAGTCTCCGAGACAGTGGTATAAACGGTTTGACTCCTATATGATCAAGATTGGCTACAACCGTTGTGAGTATGATTGTTGTGTCTATGTTAAGAGCCTTGATGATGGTTCTTTTATTTTTTCTGTTATTGTATGTTGATGATATGTTGATTGCTGCGAAGAACATGGATGATGTTATTGGTTTGAAAACCTTATTGAGTCAGGAGTTTGATATGAAAGATTTAGGTGCTGTAAAGAAAATTCTTGGAATGGAAATTTGCAGAGACAGAGACTCAATGAAACTATGGCTATCTCAACGGGGTTATGTTGAGAAAATGCTAGAAAGGTTTGCGATGAGCAGCGCAAAACCAGTTAGCACTCCATTGGCGAATCACTTTAAGCTCTCATCAGAACAGTGCTCGAAGACAGATAAGGAAGCTGAAGATATAGCAAAGGTTTCGTATTCTAATGTTGTTGGCTGCTTGATGTATGCAATGGTATGTACTCGTCCTGATTTAGCTCATACTGTTAGTCAAGTTTGTAAGTACATGTCTAAACCTGGTAAGCAACATTGGGAAGCACTCAAGTGGATTTTTTGGTACTTAAAGGGTACTGTGGGACATGGAATTGTTTTTGGTAGTCAGCGGGATAATCCTTTGGTTGTAGGATATGTGGATTCAGACTATGCAGGTGACTTAGATAATAGAAGATCTACGACAGAGTATGTGTTTACTCTTGGTGGAGGGCCTATTTGTTGGAAGTCTACTGTTCAATCTGTTGTGACACTATCTACAACTGAAGCTGAATACATGGCAGCGTCTGAAGCTGCAAAAGAAGCTTTATAGCTCACTGGTTTAGTGAAGGAGTTGGGTGTTCAGCAAGGTGGAGTTCAGTTGCTTTGCGACAATCAAAGTGCTATTCACTTGGCTAAGAATCAGATATATCGTGCTAGAACTAAGCACATTGATGTACGTTTTCACAAGATCAGAGAGTTAGTTGCATCTGGAGAGGTTTTGTTTCAGAAGGTACATACTGATGAGAATGTTGTTGATATGTTTACCAAGCCAGTTACGACAGACAAGTTCAAGCATTGCTTGGACTTGTTGAATGTTTCGAGTTGTTAAAGAAGTAAGGTAACCCAACCCACATTGAATTGTATATAAGTTGTCAAAAGTTTTTATTTTTGTTTTTTTCCATAAATTATAGAATGTTTTACTTTTAGATCTATAATTTATCATTAAAGTAATTTGTATTATATTTAACAATTTAATTAATAAATGTTAGATGTAATAATAAATTACATTGTGTTCTCACAAAGAATATCTTAGAGAGAACAATAATCATAAACTCCGAACAATAATCATAAAACAAACATGAAAGAGATCAAATAAAATTAATGGGTACAAATGCGGCACTATCTACAACTCTCCACCTTGCATCGAAGGAATGATGTGCTATTTATGTAAGGGAGCTTTGTCATTTTGGTGCTTTGATCCTTGAAGGAATTCGAAGGAAAACCGAAGGTCAGTTATGTTACGGTGTTTGAGCGCCCCGGGTTGCAAGAATTCCTGAATCAAATTAGTGAATTTGCTCAACTTGTACTATTCACTGCTGGCCTTGAAGGTTTGTTAGAGATTGTTTTATTCTTCACTTTCACTTCATAATTCATTGCTCATGAATTTTATTAATGGCTGCCCACAGGCTATGCAAGACCGCTTGTGGACAGAATTGATAAAGAAAATCGATTTAGTCTTCTACTTTATAGGCCCTCTACGATTTGTACGTATGTACTGCTTCTTCTCTATGCTCCTATGATCTTCCAGCCTGCTTACTCTTTGTATTTGTAGATGGAAAAAGATGAAATCCTTCCATATTTTTGTCTTGGGGAATTATACTTATTCTGATTCTTTATATCTCATTGCCTCTTATAGCCTGGTCTAGCCTTCTATCCTTTGCTAAATGGACATCAATCACAATTTCTTACCTTGAATCGAAATCTGCTTCTTGAGTTACATATATAAATCTCTCTTTTTCCGATTTATCTCGATGTGAGACAATCATTGATTTAACTTGAATCTTCAAAAATTTAAAAGAAAAAAGAGATTCTATTTTAGTTTTATGTAGGAATTCATGTGCTTTTAGTCTGTCTTAAGATGGCATTTTGTATATATGGAATGCGTTGATAAGTTTTAGACCAGAAAACTCACAACTTGGTTTGGGTGAGGCTTTATATGTTTTTGGCAAATCTTGTGCTTCCTCTGTGTTTTAACCTTCTAACATAACAGCGAGTATCAGGAGCATGTGAAAGACCTTTTGTGCCTATCGAAGAACTTATGCCGAACCGTTATTGTAGACAACAATCCTTTCAGTTCCTTGTTGCAACCACTAAATGGGATTCCATGCATTCCGTTTTCCGCAGGACAGCCACATGATACGCAGGTACAGGGGATTTGCATTATCCTAAACTCGTCTCATTCGATATCGATTTATTATAGCATGTCTGTTTACTTACGATGTTTACGTCTGCTTTTATACATCAAAAAGCTTCTGGATGTCCTCCCTCTTCTCAAGCACCTTTCTCTGCAAAAAGATGTGAGACCAGTTCTTTACAATAGGTTCCACATGCCCGAATGGTTTCGAAAGCACGGTATCCCTGCTTCTGGTTGGTCAGAGTAGGAGAAAGCTCATACGCAGGGCCTCCGACTCTTCCATGTACGTTCTTTACGTTACCGATCTTTGTCCAAAGGCATCATAAATTTTATTGATAGCATCTGAATCCTTGTCGTGCCGATCAGACCGAGAGTCAGCGGAGTCTTACAAACGGATTGATCGGATGCTATCTCGTATTTGTATTAGTTGATCCATTTATGTATTTACATCCACAAAAGAAAATCCTTGATTCTTAGTGCAACTCTATTTATAGGCTTGCAATCCTGTTGGATGATTATATAGATTTTGGAATTTTGTAAATTTTCTTCTCAATCAATGATTATTTTTAACTATTATTTTAAGTTTGGATCGTTTTGGTTAGGGTCATTCGGGTTTATCGGTAGATTCTTTCGGTTTGTATTGTTTCGGGTAAGGCTGAACATAATCAGAACATTCAATGAATTATTCGTAAGTCGTTTACACATTGTTCGATTATGAAAAATTATGTTCATTTATTGATCATATTAGTTTTGAATAGGAGTATGCTCAAAAATTTTATTTATTTATAAGCTTGTTTATTTAAAGTTTGTTACTTTTTTTTTTATAGAAATGATACTCAAAATATGTGTTTATTTTGTTTAGTTTTTAGTATAATTATTAACATTTATATTTGATTGTTTTATGTTTAGAAATATATATATATATATATATATTCATTTACGATTTAGTTATTTATTATTTCCGAATCTGCTTAATCGTATAATCACGAACACGTTCATTAAGTTGTATATATGAGAGTTGGTTTTACAACCTTACTGTTATTTGGGTCCGGACTCGAGTGTTACAAGTTGCATTTTCCAGTGACCTATGAGGTTTCTAAAAAGGATTATACTTGTTTGTGTTGATGCAATGTTGCCTAGAGAAACGAGATAGTGCGTCGGCAGCATTGCATTCAGCATGGCACAAAAAGGGGACAGCCTGAGCATTTGGTCACATGAAAGAGGGCCTGTGTTTTGCTTTGTTTCAGACCACATCGTGTTTGAAATCTTGCATACAATTGGTTCGAACCCCGACGGAATGTTGGAGACGTAAAGCACTGAAATTGAGGTTATCACTTTTTTTTACCAATAAAATTCATAAAGGGAGACGATTACTATGGATAATCTGAATAAAAGGTAATGGTTTTAAATGGTTCATTTTTTTAGATTAAATGAAGAGTTAACTGAGATGGTTGATGAATGGCTGAAAGAAAGAAGAAATAATTAGAAAAGACGATGAACTGTAGTTGTGGAGTTGAAAATAATTTTTTATCTTTATTTGTGTGTTTATATGATATTTATGTCCCTGGCATTAGATAGTAGGGTAATTGGTGTCAATCTTAAGATGAATGACTATTGATGAGTCGACAGGTGAATAGATCTAAATGTTTGATAGTAGAGAGAATGATAAGTTACCTCTAAATAGATCTTGAAATATAGAAAAAAGATAGAAACCTTAAAGTCCTATATAAAAGAATGGCGACAGACATAATTTATGAAGAAGGTACAACTGCTACAAAAAGTTCCTTAGCATCAAAACCCTCATGGCCGTTTGGATGGGAGAATGTGGGATTCCTCCGGAAAGGAAATTCACATTCCCCTGTTTGGTTGGCCGGGAATGTCATTCCCGGTAATGTTTTATTACCAATAGTGAATTTTTGGGAGTATATTATCAGGAATGTCATTACTTCCCTTCCCTTAGGTATTGTAACATTACCGGCATTTTGGACTAAAATGCCCTTAAAATTTCCCCACTAAAAATATCATTCTTCTGTCATTGAATAATAAAAATTATACGAAGGTTAAATTACAAATTTATCCTTAAACTATTTTAGATTTTAAAAAAAGTCTATAATTAAAATTTTATATGAAGTTTAGGGGTTAAAATAAATTTTTACCCTTTCATTAAACTTTTTTTATATTTTTAATTTTGTAAAAAATTATATAAATTTTATGAATTTAAATTTTTTAAAGAAAATATATAAATATTTTCCAACTTGTAATATTATACAAATATATAAAAATGACAATTTGGTCAAATATACATTCTAATAATCTTTTATTCCTTTAACCAAACACGGTAATGTTACATTCTTGCTAAACCAACCAAACACAAAATACAACATTCCCAGTAATCCTATTCCCTGGTAATCTTTTATTCTCACTGGTAATCTTACATTCCGTGAACCAAATGCACCCTCAATATTAGTCAAACAAGACAGCGACAAGATGACAGTCTCCAACAGACAATAAACCCTCAGCTAGGCAATATGCCTCTGAACTGAACCAGTTGATATAGTCGTAAGGCTAGATTCAATAAAGCTTCCAACCTCTAATTTTTCCATTTTATTGATTTCATCCAATTCAGGCCCTGAAAACAAGAATTGGCCGAGAAATTAAGGATCAAAACTCACCTGAAAACCAAAACGATGCCACCCGAACGGCCAACAAACTCACCCAAATGCAATCAATTCTACAAATATCAACCTCTACTTTCTTCAAAAGTTAATGCGTGTGGAAAAATTCAAAGAAATATGTTTAGTTCTATCATATTTTTTCCTGTAATATTGTTTGATTTGTCATTTTTTGGGGATAAAATGTGTATTTATATCTAAAGAAGACGACAAACCACAAGATAGAGGTAGAACATCAACAAAAACAGACGGTCAACCAAGAATGTTCCAATCAATACAAAGCCTAGCATTTACAAAATCTAGTCTATCAATCTCCCCCCTCCCAAAAAAATAAAGATTAAAACTAACCAGCCCCTTTATGGTATTAACCTCCAACGCACCATTTGGGGAACCCCCAAACACTCTTTTATTGCGCTCTTCCCAGATGCAATAGATGAACGCACTCCAAGATAATTGAAGTAAAAGAACAACGAGCGACTTACCCTTAAGATAGGAAACCGCCCACTCCAACTCAAGCTCCCACGAGAGCACCATAGAATCCAGACTGCAGAGACAAAGAATGAGCTTCCAAATCTCACCCGATAACGTACACTTGAAGAGGATACGATCCCTAGACTCCGAAGTAACCCCACACAATACACACAAGCTGTCCGCTGCAAGTCTAATGAGAATGGCGGGTTGAGCGACCACATCATGCTTTGGAATATGCATCAGGAACCATGACAGTTTGTGCCACGGAACCTTGCTTTCCCTCCTACTAATCTCAGACCAAAGCTGGCAAGATTTCATAAGCCTCGGCTTACTAGCAGAAAATGGCAAATAACCCTCACATCTCAGTGAAAGGATTTTCATTAAGCTCTAACTCAACGATCTTTTCGACCCAGCCGTACAAATATCAGTCTCCTTGATGACGTAAGCTTTGATCCAAGTGACCCAAAGCGATCCATGGCAAGAATACTTCTGACCAAATGGAACATGCACACCTTATTCCAACTAAGAAGGTCCTTAATTCTGTGACCTGTTGCAGAAGACGACTATCGGATAAAGTAAAATCACAACTGATAATTTGAGAAAATAAAAAATGAAGATAAAAGAGATGCAAAATTTATATGGAAAACCCCTAAATAATATAGGGTAAAAACCACGGGCAACGATAGAAAATTTTCACTATGAGAAAATAGGAATTACAACTTCTCTCGATCTACCAAGGAGAAAACAATGATAATTCTCTCTTGATAAAAAGGAGAAAACAACTCTCAAGAAACTCTCTAAATTCTCTAGTATTAAGAGAAAACTATAATGATTTGGGATGGTTTTGAAGCTAAATGGGTTAGGGTATTTATAGTTGAAGTTTTAAGGACTAATCTTATAAATATTCTAAAGTATAATGACTAAATTGTGATTATACCATTTAGCAAATTTCAACAATTGTGTACTGCCTTTTGACCATTGCACCGAATTGTGCATTAATTCACCGATTTCAGTGCTGACTTTTAATAATTTCCCACTTGAATATTTGATTGGAACAATCATATCTTCACACCATTCTTTCTACCTTGTACCATCATGTTGCTTATGTTTCTGACAGGCCACAAGAGGATCGACACCAAGTAAATTTATCAACATTGATTGCCTTCGTCATGAAATCTGTTATGTTGTCTTTGGTATGGATTTTTTTGCATATCTACAGTCAATTCTTCCACCTTTTCACGAATGAAATGGTATTGAACTCGTATGTGTTTTTTTCCTTGAATGAAATGCTGGATTCCTTGCTAGATGCAAGGCTCTTTGACTCTCACAAAACAGAGAGACATACTCTTGGTTATGCCCAAGATCCTCCAATAGCATCTTCAACCAAATTGTTTCTTTACTGGCTTGTGTAGCTGCTACATATTATGATTCTGTTGTGGATGTAGCCACAACTGACTGCAATTTTGAAACTCAACTTACAGCTCCACCAGCAACTTTGAACACATATCTTATAGTAGTTTTGCTTTTATCCAAATCCCCTGCATAGTCAGAATCTACATACCCATTTATTAGTAAGTTTGATCATCCGTAACATAATGCAACATTTGAGGTCCCTTTGATGTATATCAGGATCCTCTTTATTGTATTCCAATGCTCTTTGCCTAGCTTCGCAATGTACCGACTAACTACTCCCACTGCTTGTGCAATGTCTGGTCTTGTGCATATCATAGTGAACATTAAACTTCCCACTGTCGATACATACGACACTAGAGACATCTCCATCCTCTCTTCTTCACTGCTAGGACTCATACTGGAGGATAATTTGAAGTTAATAGGAAGAGCGGTATAAATTGGCTTACAATCTTGCATATTGAATCTTGACAAGATCTTCTTCAAGTAATTCTTTTGTGAAAGACAAATCTTCCTATTACTTCTGTCTCGGTGAATTTGCATCCCTAGAATCTTGTTTGCTGATCCGAAGTCCTTCATTTCAAATTCCCTAGCCAGTTGTGCCTTCAATTCTTCAATATGATCTTTATTGGGTCATGCAACCAACATGTCATCCACATACAACAGAAATATAACAAAATCATTATCACCAAACCTCTTGAAATAAGCACAAGAATCTGTATTAAGTTTGTTGTATCCAAGGCACATAATGAAGGAATCAAATCTCTTATACCAACACCTTGGCGCATGCTTTAGACCGTACAAAGATTTGTTCAACTTGCAAACCAAGTTCTTCTTTTCTTTTTCTTCAAAACCTTCAGGCTGGAGCATATAAATCTCTTCTTCAAGATTTTCATGAAGAAAAGTTGTTTTAACATCTAGCTGGTCTAGATGT